TCTGTTAATCCCAAACACACGGCGTCATTGACGGAGCTGATGTGTCACGTAAATGGGCATGGTCACTGCCATGTTGGAGGTGGAACGACGTCGTTTGAAGCTCCATAATCCACGTTGCTCAGAATCCTTTGAAGAAACCCAATTGAACGTTAAGTTGTCCTTCCCTATCAATTTCTGCAAAGGAACGTCGTTGTATGGTTTAGGGTTCTTCTTAAACCAGAGAGAAGGGGGTTGAATCGAAGATTGAACGTTTGAATTTCGGGATTACTGATTTAGGATTTACTGATTTAGGGTTATCCTCAATTTGGTGTCTTATTTGAAACTTAGTGTTTAGGAGATGAATATTTCTTATGGGAGGGGGAGCTCAAGCCCTTGAAGTTCATTTGGGTCCTAAGTGAGAGAAGGAAAGCTGCTCCATTGTGTAAATGTGGGAGAACAATGTTGTTTATACCTCCAAAACCATTAGAAACCCAAATAGAGCATTTTTTGGGTGCCCCAATTTCAAGGTGAGGTATTTTTTTGCATGCGTTAACTGTCTAATTTGAATGTTATTAAGAGTTTGGTTTAATTTGGTGTTAGAAAAAGAAGCCACACTGTAACTTTTTTACATGGGTGGATGATGCTATATCTGATACCATGAAGCTAGAAGATTGGAAAATTAATATGCTGGAGTTGAATGTAGCTGAAATGGAATTCAATTTGAACTTTGTGGACATAAAGCTCAATGATGAACTGCAGCTGGAGGTGAATGACCACAAAAAGAAGATTAATGAGCACCATATACAGATTGGTGAACTATCAATGAAGATGCAGGCAGAGTTTGAAAGGATGGAGAAGAAAATTAAGGATGCGTGTAGGTGTGCTAGGGTGTTTGCTGGATCCATTATTGTTGTGTTTGTAATATGTATATATCTTGCAAGTAGGCTGGAGTGAAATATATCATGTGGTTTTGTTTTGATTTGCTGGTGTATGTACCATTACATGTTGTAAAATTTTTGGAATGTGAAGATTTGTAATGGAAGGAGTAGTGCTGAAATTTAATGAATTGTTGTTCATGCAATGTATATAACATGGCTTATGTATTTGAAGTTATGTTTATTTGCACAAAGTATTGTATAAACTTGATGCAGATAAAAAAGATTGATGGTCTGTTAATAGCAAATGTACATTCTTGTTAGTCATGACTTATATCAGCATAAACAAGGGGAAATTCATTGCTGGTCTGTTAATAGAAAACATACATTCTTGTTAACAGAAATATAGCAGGGACTAAAAAGGACCCCTATAATTGTGTTAGGGACCATAATGGACCTACGAATTATAAAACAAGGACTAAAAAGGTGCTCAATAGAAAATATTGAGGACTTATAATTCCACTTAATTGCAGATGGTTTACATGTGCACTGAAGCTACATTGAATACATTAATGACATAAAACATTAATGGACTCAAAAAACAGAACAAAACAAACAGAACAAACAGGGAACTTATGATGGACATTCCCAAACAGAACAAAAAATACCATTTCATCTGCAGAAACCATTGTTTACATAAACAAAACTTATTTTTTTACATTGAAGCTACAATGTAAAAACAGGGAACTGATAATGGACACAGCAAATAGAACAAAAAATACCATTGTTGACAGAAACCACAAAGTGTATCAGCAGACGGTAGGTGTGGACCAAAATTTAAAAATTGCAGCATTGAATACATTAATGATATAGATAGTAAGCAAACATTTTGCATTCATTTCATCACATCCTAGTTACAATTACTAACCATGGCCAACATGCCACAATCATACAAAAAAATCCCACTGACATATTTCCATGAAGGCCAATACATATGTGTTCCAAAAAACCATAATGTTCCAAAAACTAGAGGCATACAAAAAATGGCCTAATGACATATTTCAACAGGGCCAATACCGAAGTATTTCCAAAAAAATACCCTAATTACAATCCCAATCAATTCTTATATCAGAGGCATCCAAAAAATGGCCTAATGTCAGTGAATCTGAATGGATTCCAATCAATTATGTGGCTTGGTGGCTTTAACCCTAGTGTAGATATGAAGCTCATGAATCTGTCCCTGGTGCCACTACTTCTGCAATAAATGTCTCATTGGTCACAATCTCAGTAGGATTGCATGGAGGTGGGCTGCTGCCTCTTGATGCTCTTGAACTTGGTTGAGCCTCAGTTGTTGCGTTCTGGTTGCTTGTCTCTGGTACAGGGCATACTTGACTCATGACTATTTCTTCAACTGTCCTTGATATAATTTCAACACTATCTGGTTTTTGCTTTGACCTTGAAGGAGATGCAGGTCCCTTATATGTCTTGGGGTAATGACCAGTCTCACCACACTTGTAGCATTGAACTGTGTAAGTCTTTTTCAGCTTCTTGTTGGTCTTCATAAGCTCTTCAGTGGGATCCTTCTTGCGATACTTTTTAGAATGTCCAATAGGCCTTTTCAAGCGTAGAAGAAGTGGTTTTGGGGCATGACATACAAGTCAATATTGTTGGGAATTGACTGGGTTGAATGCGTGTTCATATGTGGCATGCAAAGCATCCACTGACAGCCATTGGAGAACATGATTTTCTACAGGTTCATTCTTGTGTGCAATGGCAGCAATACATGTTCACATGGCAATCCAGTCAACTGCCAAACATTACAACTACAAGATTGGTTCGTTAAGTTCACCCCAACCCGTTGACCCTTTCTAGAGACTTCATACACATCTTGGACCAAGTTTCCAGTCCATGTAGGTGTCCAAGAATTGATGGCAACCTTCAAACGGTCTGGCCTCTCCTGCTGTGCAGGAGCAATCTTGCCCCTGAATGTTTGCAGAATCCTCTTATGTGCTGCTGTCCTTCGCATTATGTAACATCTCAATTCCTCACACAAAGTCATTATAGGCTTGTATGCCTCATCCTCTGCACTCTCATATGAATCTGAATCTGAGGAAGCAATCTCGTCATCTACATTGTCATGTTCAGATGAATTACCACCATCCTCTGCACTTTCTTGCTCATGATTCACCCCATCACCATGTGAAATCTCTTGATCCGAATTGACCCCATGATCATGTGAAATCTCATGATCCGAATTCACCCCATCATCATCCTGTGCATGATCCTCATTATTTGTGGAATTAACCATATTATCCTCTGCACTGTCATGCTCAGGTGAACCAAACTCAAGAATTGAAATGCAGTCTTCAAAATATACAGGTATCTCATTGCCATTACCTAAAGCAGCCTCACACATGACACATACATCCGAATCACTACTAAGTGGTCTGAGGCCCTGTTCCAAATTCAGTTCACCAGGCTTTAGCCACATCATCTTTTTGCATTTTTCATACCCAAATTGCTTAAACAGGGTGTCAAGGTCATGCAAATTGCAGTAATCAATATCCATCTCAGGCAGTGAGTCCACTCTCCCATTTATATAGGTGAGCACTCCATCTTCATCTCTTATTAAAATACCACCATGATGATAAACAATCACTATATATTCAGACATCTGTACAAACAATAAAAAAAGGTAGCTTTCATTAATCCAATGACTACTTCAAAACCAGGGTACTTACTCATAAAACAAAGGCAAGACATGTGGACCACTTAAACAATACAAACCAATAAACAAACAGCCAAATGGAACATGCGATTTTTTTCAACAATTTCCATGCGGTTTTTAATTGTTAATGGGTCAACCATGGACAACTTTGCTCATACAGGGACCACACCACACCTGGTAGGCATTTCTTTATTCTAAACCCTAAAGTGAAACATGGACCACATTGTCCACTGAGCATGCAGAAAAAAGCACGCATTAAACAACAAAAACTCCATGGGGACCACAGACAACAAATAGCAACTACAATAAAAAAGTGTTCCAAAATACTTCCAGTCTCTTACCTTTTTTGTACAGAACGTTGAGCCTCGCACCAAACCAAGGGTATTTCTTCCTCCATTTCCCTCCGATTGTTGAACCACTTTGGAATCGAAACGCAGGGAAATGTTTACAGAATGGTCTTCTTTCTTCTCAACAATGGAGCGTCGAACTTTCAGGAGAGGGAAATGGTAAAGTGAACAGCGGTTAGGTGAGGGGCAGTTTTGGGTTTTTTCAAAGGATTCTGAGCAACGTGGATTATGGAGCTTCAGACGACGTCGTTCCACTTTCAACGTGGCAGTGATCATGCCCATTAACGTGACACATCAGCTCCGTTAATGACGTCGTGTGTTTGAGATTAACAGAAGGACTAACGTGGAACCTATTTGCCTTTGTTGGGGACTATTCAACTAATTTATTTTTGTTAGAGACTAAAATGGGTATCGAATTTTTTGTCAGAGACTAATTTGAATATTTACTGTAGTTTAAATAAATAAACTAAATAACATGTTTTGGGCTTGAAATAGAATACCCCTTTCTCCTGTCAACCCATCAACTTTAATTTATAAATAATAATAATAATAATCTGTTACTTAGAGGCATCAATTCCCATTTGAACAACACAGTAGATTCTGTTCACTTGACAAATCCATTTACATTACATGTTAATTAATCATTGGAAAGAACTGAATAGGTAAGAAGAATAAATGTTAAGTAAAAATAGTAAATAGATACTCGAATTTAAAATATTATCACAGTGAGTAAAAATCTTTCCGCTTAAAATATAGACATAGCATGTAGTAACTTAAATAGTTAAATCCCAGATAAAATTATATGTAAAAAAAAAAAAAAAATCCCAATAAAAGTTTAATCAATAAACAAGACCCAGTTTTGTTTTTTAAATATATTTTTGTGTAATAATAAATATTTTTTAAACCGCATAAGCGCGCGTGGGGGGAGACAGAGTGGCAGTGCATGTAAGAGTTAAGTGTGAGGAAATAGAATAGTTGAGTGATGTAAGCAAAGTTGAGGGGGAAGTCCTCGCTCTTTTCATTTATAAATAAAAAAAAAACTCACCTCTCTCACTCACTCATTCATTCATTCCCAATTCTCCCACTTTCCAAATCAAAGACGTTGTGATGCAAGGACTACGTCCTTGCTCAAACGACGTCGTCGTCAACCTCGACCTCGCCACCAACCCTTCTTCTTCTTCTTCCTCTTCTTCCTTGTCCATCGACGTCGACGAATCCACCGAGTCCCGAATCCAACGACTCATATCGGAGCACCCCGTCATCATCTTCACCCGATCCTCCTGCTGCATGTGCCACGTCATGAAGAAGCTCCTCGCCACCATCGGCGTCAACCCCACCGTCATCGAATTAGACGACCACGAGATCCCCGCCCTTCCCCTCGATCACGATCAACAATCTCCCACCACCACCGCCGCCGCCGCCCTCCGCAACCGCACCCCCGCCGTCTTCATCGGCGGAGCCTGCATCGGCGGCCTGGAGTCACTCGTCGCCCTCCACGTCAGCGGCCACCTAGTCCCCAAGCTTGTCGAAGTCGGTGCTCTCTGGGTATGACTAGACTACTCATCTAATCAAATACCCAAATATATATATATATATAAATTATTATTATTATTCTACTTAGAAAAGCAAAAAAAGAAAAAAAAAGAAAAAGAAATTATAACTAATTGTATAATTTTGGGTCTTCTCTGTGAAATGGAATCTCAATTTCTTTCCTTTACATTTTTTGTTTTTTTAACGTTCGAATCAATCTATGGTTTTGGGGAACACGTGTGGTGGAAGAGCATCTGGCGTCAGTGACTGAGTGTGACAACGTTATTTGGGTTTGGCCTGTGCTCTCTTCATCGTTCTTCACGGTGGGTGTGTGGGTGCATCGCTTCATTCCCTTAATTACTAGATTGGGTCCCATTTCCCAATTGTTATGCAATCAGGGCCGTTGCTTCATTCCCTTAATTACTAGGTATCCCCTGTGGGGGTTAAGACGTTAAGGAAGAAAGAAAGGGAGTTCACAAACTACTTTGGAGAAGATGAGAGATATTTTTTTTTGATAAAGGCACGCACGCACTCACCTTCAATTATTGCATAACAAACATAGTTTAGATCAGGCACGACTCTTATTACTGAAGTTTTTTTTTTTTTTTTTTGTTTTTTTTGTTTTGCCTTGGCACTTTCGTAAACATCAATAGAATCAAATCCCCATGGTTGTGTAATACGGTCCTCTTAAAAGGAATTAATATAACTACTTTAGGCACAATCTTAATTGTGCTGTTATTGTCAAACTAGAATCATTTTTTTGCATTAAAGGAGTTGGAATTTTGCAATCCTCGCTCCTGCTTCTTATTCTTCTTACTTTCTTTGACTAGATCAGTATAAATTGCTTTTTCTTTTTTAAAAGTGATAGACAGTGACCTTATTTTTTTTTTTTTTACTTTTACCTACTTTTAAAATGCGAAGGTAGTAACTATCACCCGATCATAAAAAAAGTTTTAGTTTCCTTGGATTGGTTTGTGTGAAAATTAAATAGTATATAATAAGAGTGCGAAAATTAAATAGTATATAAAATTATTTTATACATATATAAAAGTGTATAAAACTCGTGTGTGACCATACGAAAAGAAAAGAAAAGAAAATATGAGCTTCATATATTTTTATGTGTGTAAAAAAAAAAAATATCTATTATAATATGAAAAATATTATATCTATATAATAAATATTCGCGTGGCACGGTTACATATATTTTAATAATTGTTATTGAATCTAGCGTTCACAAAAAGGTAAAAGCCCCGATAGATGCAAAGCTAAAACAGGTCGCAAGGACAATCTTAAATTACTGTCATCATGCCAAGAGACAGCTTTGATGGGCTGGTGCGTGATGGCATGCATCACTACATCCTTATAAATCTCTAATGTTAAAATTTTACATTAGAGGGTTAATTATGTGAATTTCTTTATATAAGAGGATCCACTCCTCAATTGTATAGCTAAAGCATCAGCCAAATGATCCATCGTTAACATAAGCCAAGAATCAATATATCAACTTTAACGACCCTCTGAACCAAGCCCGCCCACAAACTGAACCTCAAATAGAAACAAAAACAAAAAGGCTAGCACTAAGTATTATACACTACTATAATCAAAAAGCACCTTGGTGCTGATCTATTGATAAGCTAAGCATCTTAGAAGCTGGAGTGTAGTGGAGCATCTTGGTGCTTTCTACATGATTGTTAATCGTAAATGAGTATGTTTGTTGCAGCAAAAAAGCACAACAAAAATGAATAATTTAAGGTAATTTATCAGTTAAAATTCTGAAAAAATAATAATTAAAAATCATCAATAGCATACTATAGTATTGTATTGGTGTGGTATCAAAGAGGCTGCAATTTTGGGAGGAAAAAACAAAGGTTGGAAGGATCTTTTCCCAATTAAGGAAAAGGATAGATTATGATTAAGGGTAAGACCAAGAGTCCTACCTCCACTTTCCACCATTTGGGACCCAATTAGACAATTGGTTTTCCTTTAGGTTCGGAAAAGACGGCAAGGTGACTAGTGACGGCATCAACGACATCAACCACTACAATTACAACTACAACTATGGCCACAATCCAAGTAGAAAGGGTGAGTTAGTGGGTATTTCATTTTCCAAATTTTAAGGCTTTCTTTAATGCAAAATCAGACGTGGCATGCATGCCATGCCATTGATTAACAACGTTGGCGGGTCCCATGATAGAATCTTTCAGCCTAACGTAGGAAGAATCTCCTAATGATTCTCTTTCCTCACAGGGAGTATTAGGGCTGTGTATGGGTCAGGTCGGGTCAGGTTTTTGTCCGATTCGACCCAACTTGGTTTTTATAGGTCAGGTATTTTGACCCGACCCGCTTTAATTTGATCCAAGTCAGGTCTGACTTGGATTGGATTTTGTTGAACTAGTTCAAAACCAGTTTGGATCTGACCTGACTTAGTTTCTGAAGTGGGTCTGACTTGGTTTCTGAACTGGGTCAAATCTGATCTGACCCGTTTTTGACTTGGTTTTCTCACAAAATTTTGTTGAAATTTTTACGTTGCAAAAGACGAAAATTTCGTCACAAAATTATTTTTTCGTCGAAATTTTTACAAAAAATTTTTTTCTATAGAAATTTAGTTTATGTCAACAGTTTTGACGAAAATGATTTCTTCAATCAAATTTTTTAAACGAAAAAAGAATTTTGTCAAAAAATTTGACAGAATATGTTTCGCTAAAATTTCGACGAAATTTTTTTTTCTCAAAAAATTTAACAAAAATTTTTTCGTCGAAAACTTTAGCCGAAATTTGAAATCTGTAAAGAATTTTGATGAATTTTTTTGCCGTCAAAATTTTTTGATGACGAAAATATTTCCGTAGAAAACTCTCGCTGAAATTTGAAATCTGTAAAAAATTTTGAGGAAATTTTTTGTCGTCGATATTTTTTGCCGTCAAAATTTTTTGAAGACGAAAATGTTTTCGTCGAAAACTTTCGCCAAAATTTGAAATCTGTAAAGAATTTGGATGAAATTTTCTGCCGTCGAAATATTTTGATGACGAAAAATATATTCGTCGAAAACTTTCGCCGAAATTTGAAATCTGTAAAGAATTTTGATGAAAGTTTTTGATGGAAATGTGTTTCGTCGAAATTTTCAATGGAAATTGTTTTAAGGAAAATGTTTCATTTGAAACTTTCGACAAAATTTAGATTCTCTAAAGAATTTAGACAAAATATTTTTTCTGTCAAAATTTCTTATTGAAATATTTTTGTCAAAAAATTTTACGAATTTTTTTTTACAGAAATGTGTTCCGTTGAAAATTTTGATGGATATATTCTTTATCAAAAAACTTGACGAAAATATTTAGTCGAAATTTTTTGATAGAAATGTGTTTCGATAAAAATTTCGACGAATTTTTTTTTTGTGAAAAAGTTTAACGAAAATGTTTCCATCGAAAACTTTCGCCAAAATTTGAAATCTGCAAAGAATTTTGATGAAATTTTTTGATGGAAATGTGTTTCGTCGAAATTTTCAATGGAAATTGTTTTGAGGAAAATGTTTCATTTGAAACTTTCGACAAAATTTAGATTCTCGAAAGAATTTAGACAAAATATTTTTTCTGTCAAAATTTCTTATCGAAATATTTTTGTCAAAAAAATTTACGAATTTTTTTTTACAGAAATGTGTTCCGTTGAAAATTTTGATGGATATATTCTTTATCAAAAAACTTGACGAAAATATTTAGTCGAAAATTTTTGATTGAAATGTGTTTCGCTAAAAATATCGACGAAATTTTTTTTTGTGAAAAAGTTTAACGAAAATGTTTCCGTCGAAAACTTTCGCCGAAATTTGAAATCTGTAAAGAATTTTGATGACATTTTTTTCCGTCAAAGAATTTCGATGAAAATGTGTTTCGTCGAAAGTTTTTATGAATATATTTTTTTGTGAAATATTTTGACGAAATTTAGATTCCGTAAAAAAATTTGACAAAAAAAATATTCCGTCAAATTTTTTTACCGATATGTTTTTAGTCACAAATTTTGATGAAAATCTTTTTCGTCAAAAATTTTTGCGAAAATTTTTATGAAAATATTTTCTATAAAAAATTTGGACGTAATTGTTTTACGTTAAAACTTTTCTTTTAATGTAATTGTGATTTTTTTTTCACACAATGGGTATGGGTCAAGTTTTGGGTCAGTGGGTCAATATTAAAACGAGTCAGGTCTAAAACTGACCCAAATAAAAGTGGGTCAGTATTTACACCAGTTCAAAAAATATGGGTATTTATGGGTCGGGTCAAGGTCGGATCAAGGGCAGGGCAAGTGAACCAGTTTTTTTGCACACCCCTAGGGAGTATGAACAAAATCGGGTGATTGACTCTCTTGTTCTTTTTTTTTTTTTAATTTTTTTATTATCATTTTGTTACTCTTTTAAAACTATACATTAATCTATTCGTATTTGACCACGTTGACCGTCATCTACTTGAGTATCTAGGTCAGTTACTTGAGTAAATGATGGCAATTAGCAATTTAAAATTTAGATTCATGAATACTTTTTATTCAAACAAAGTTCTAATGTCTTGTCTACGTTGTATCGACACTAGCAAGGGACGCGACGCGACATGATACTTTGACAAGTTAATTTTAAAAATGTTAGATTTTTACACGTTTTGATATTAAATTATGGGAAAAGTGTTTATCCTTTTAAATGACATAACTTATATCCTTTCACTCTCACAAAGAGGTGGGATCCACACCTTTATTTTTTTTGTCAACTCTCTCTCCTCCTTTATCTATCTCTTTCTCTCTCTTAAAATGACACAATCTTATATCCTTTAAAATGAAACACACTTTTTCCTTAAATTATATTTTTAATATATATAATATAGTGTACATTTAATACATATAGCAACCAATAATAAGTCATATAACCAATCGAATATTCAAATTTTACAACATAAATATAAAGCAAAAATAATAAAACATTCATAGAGTGTAGAGTGTAGACTACTCACAAGTTCAATTATTTTCATCTCCATCTTGAAGAATCTTGGCCTCTATCTTTGGCTCATCAAGTGAAAGACTAGAAACTTCAAGATCTCCAACATCATTCAGTGAATCAAATGTATCTCCAGCAATGTCCAACATTTGATTTTCTCCTTGTGCATGACTAGGTTTCTTTCTTGATAAGAGTTGAAGGTTGCTAAGCACATAAACTAAGTCTTCAGCACGTTTTGGAGTGATTCTATTCCTCTTCATGGAATGCACAAAAAAATAAGTACTCCAATTGCGTTCAACACATGATGAAGAAGAGAGTTGTTGCACAAGTCTTAATGTTATCTTTTGAAGCATTGATGTAAAAGTACCATAAAGTAGCCACCAAGATTTCGGATCCATAGTGTATTGAGTATTGATGGCATCAAAATCGCCAAAGATTCCACTATTGCTAATAAAAGCTGCATTACTCCAAACTAATCTTGTTTCGATCCTCCATGCTAGGAAAAATCTCCTTAAACATTTTTGTCGCTCTTGAGTAATCTCTAAATCTATGTGTGGAGGAACTCGACTAGAATCTTCCTAGAGCCATTCTTGACTATAGTATCTAAAAGAGAAATAAAAAAATTAAACAAATTGTCAAGTTATATCAAGAGAAGTATCAATTTTAAACTGGATCATATTTAAACACTTACTTGGGATTCAAAGCATGTGCCAAATAATGTAGTGGAGTTGAATTTTTTGTGCAACAATTCCCAAGAATGCGATGCACCATATCATAAAAAGAGGAGATCTTATCCATCCTCTTTCCCTCTTTATGGTATATAGCTTTCTTCATTTTCTTAATCATCTCATACCACATATCATATATCAAGTGAAGAGAAGTTCTATCAGTGTCACAAGCTCTGATCATATAATAAAAAGGAGTAGTGAAGACAAGTATGTAATCAACTGAATCCCAAAAACAATCATCCAATATTTTTTCCTTCACAAATCTGACCCTTCCAAGATTATCATATCTATAAATACTCTTTTTTTCACTTATTAACTTGAAATTTCTTCAGCATCACAATCATTGAAGCAAGACGAGTATTAGTAACAGGAAGCAACTTCAACATCACAAACTCATTAAAGATGGACAATCTCATAGAATGATTCCTAATGAAATGCTTTATTGCTTCAACATCACCTACAAAATCAGAAATCTAAGTATATTCCTCATATGATATTTCATTGTCCTCCACATTCTTTGTAACATAAATATTTTTCATAGCCGAATTCAATGCGTGAACAGTACATGGTGTCCAAGTCAGTGGCGGATCCAGAAAATTAATGAAGGGTGAGCACTATTCAAGTACATATAGATCTGGGTCTGGTCTGGAACGCGACTTGCGAGCAGGTGTCGGCTGGCTGGGTCTGATTTAGATCTAGATTTGGACAGACTGCGACTCAACTTGACCAATGATGGAAAAGAAACAAATGTTCCAAATTCTAATTACGGAGATTGAGGTTTGAGAGGAGATGAATCAGTATGTAGATGCAAATGAGCTCTCTACTGTTAGGTTTGGATAATGAAGGTGGAGAAGGAAAAAAAAACTTACGAGAAAATAAAATAGAAGAAAGAAAATTAAAGGGGTAGGATATCGTAACAATCAACTAGGGTTACCACCAATGTTACTACCAATAAATTTCACCGTTAGATCGATTATGTTAATCTAACGATTATATTTATTTTCATCTTGTGTGGTTATGATCCCCATATTTAATGTTAAATCATTAAATATGAGAAATCATAATCATACAAAGGTAAAAATAAATATAAAGTATTAAATATGGAGAATCATAACCATACAAAGATAGAAATAAATATAACCGTTGGATCAACATAATCGATCTATTGGTGAAATTAATTGGTAGTATTATTGGTGGTAACACTATTTGGTTGTTACAATATCCTACCCCAAAATTAAATTAGAAAAATTTGAATTTTAAGAGAAAAATATTTTTATATTTTTGCATCAAATTTTAAGGGTGGGCACTTGCCCCCCTTCTCTAACACTTGGATCCGCCTTTGGTCCAAGTAATAGATGAGAATTCCTGCACAATCAGTTGCCTTGCTCCCTTACAATTTGCAACATTATTTGTGATTACTTGAACCACATTCGCCTCTCATACTTCTTGAGTAACTTCCGTTAACAACCTGAAATTTTTTTTATCATTAGCCTCCCTCGAGTAAACAAACAAACACACTCAAACATATTACAGAAGTCCAAAAAATTACCTGAAAATAAAATTTTGTCCTTAATATCCCCCGAACAATCAACTGATTTTAAAAGCATTGCTTTACCATAAGATACTGCCATAAAATTAATGAGTGGTCTCCTTTGTAAATCACTCCACTTATCACTTACAATACTCACCCCCTTATGAGTCCACGCCTCTCGAATAGGTTCACACAACCTATCAATATTTTCTTTCTCCTTTTGCAACAGAGTGGTTCGCAGCGCGTTATATCCAGGTGGCAAATGACCTCCACTATTACGATTTGCTGCATAAGTATACGAAGCTTGGAAGAAAAGGTTCTTTGCCAAACTGAATGGCAATCCTGCTGAATAAAACATTCTAGCGATCAAATAATTTAATTCTTCTCGTTCCAAACATTAAATGTTGTTTCCTCATCTTATTCTCCAAGTACAGCTTTGAGGCTAGTTCCTCATTAAAACAGAGAGTGTGTTGCACCATTGTCATCGAAAAAAGGGTGAAACTAATCCCCTCGAGAGGAAACCTTTGCTCTCTAGTCTCCAAAGAATTTCAAGAATATGCTTTAACCAAGATTTGAACCCTGGTGAAAGCAAATCCTTAGGCTTTGTTTGGGAGTTGATTTTAGGAGCGGAAGGGAAGGGAAGGGAAGGGAGGGTTTTAGTAAGCTCTTCCCTTGTTTGTGAGTTTAAAAAAAGGAGGGGAAGAGTTTGGAGATTTTTACTAAACCCTCCAAAGTCCTCTCATTCTTCTTAAAATTAAAGTTCCCCCAATTTGGAGGGTTTGAAGGAAAAAATATTAAAAATTACTTATCTACCCTTAGCATTAAAATGTTAAAACTACATAATTGTGAATCATTTTTAAACACGATATTATTAGAAAAATCTCAAATACCGACAGAATTTATTGACGAAAAATATTTCCTCAAAAATAATGATGAATTTTTTACGAAAATCATATACGTCAAAAAAATTTCGTCAAAACTAAAGACAAAATTAGAGACGAAACCAGATTTTGCCATATTCACTAACATAAATTTTGTACGAAAAAAAAATTCAGTCAAAATTATTGATAGAATCTAAATTGCGTTGAAACTTTTAACGAAAATATTTCTGTCCAAAATTTTGATGAAACACATTTCCATCGAAAAGTTTCGACATAAAACAATTACGTCAAATTTTTTTACTGAAAATATTTCCATCAAAATTTTGACAAAAAATATTTCTGTAACAAATTTTGACGAATTTTTTTTTTGTCAAAATTCTTTACGGAATCTAAATTTTACCAAAATATTTCACAAAAAAACATATTCATTGAAATTTTTAACGAAAAATTTCAACGAAACACATTTCTATCTTAAATAAACGACGAAAAAAAATTTCATCAAAATTTTTAATAGAATTTAAATTCTGCCGAAAGTTTTCGACAGAAATATTTTCATTAAACTTTTTGGCAAAAAAATGTCGAAATTTTTAACGAAACACATTTCCATCGAAAATTTTCGACGGAAAATATTTTCGTCAAGTTTTTTGATAAAAAATATTTTCAGCAAAATTTTCAACGGAACGCATTTCTGTCAAAAAATTTGGACAAAAAATATTTCCGTAAAAATTTTGACGAAATATATTTCGAAAAAAAATTTTGACGGGAAAATATTCTGTCAAAATTCTTTACAGAATCTAAATTTCGTCGAAAGTTTCGAATGAAACATTTCCCTTAAAATTTCTGTCGAAATTTTCGTCAGAACACATTTTCATCGAAATTTTGAACGGAAAATGTTTTGTCAAAATTTTTGACAGAATTCTTTTTTCGTTTAAAACATTTGATGGAAAATAAATTTCGTCAAAATTTTTGATAGAAAATTTATTTTTGTAAAAATTTTCATCAGTTGAAAAATTCCATCGCTTTTCGACGAAAAGTATTCTGACGAAAAAAATAATTTTGTGATGAAATTTTTATCGTTTGCAACGTAAAATTTTTATCGAAAATATGATCTTTTTTGGTGTTGTGAAAAGTACATACATAGTTTTGTTAGAAAGTTTAAATTTAATTTAATTTGTAAAATATAATAATTATATTAATTTAAAAAAAAGGGTAAAATGGTAAAAATATCTCATTAACCCTTAATTTTCCTCCTTTATCATTTTTTTAACTCCCAAACAAGGGAATGGAATACCCTCTAATTTCCTTCCCTTTCTTCCCCTCCCTCCCCCTTGGATCCCCTTCCTTCCCCTCCCCTCCAAACTCCCAAACAAAGCCTAAAGGTGCTTAACTTTGCCAGAAGGGTAATTAGTATGATTCTTTGATTAGGCATGTTATTTATTCAATATGGCGAGTAAGCTCATTGATATGCAGACACACACTACAATTCATTCTTTTACAAAAATAGAGAGAAGATTTATTTCCCGGATACAACAATCTTAGAGAGACCAATAAAGTAGAATAAAATTAAGGCTAAGACTCACATACGACAGTTTCTAAATAAATGCTGTCTGATTCTCCTAATCCTTCTTAGTTACAGCTTATATTATTTCCCTCGAGGCCTAACTCCGCTTGCTTCATGCTCCAAGCATTAAGTTTTGAGATCAGCACACCCTGGTTTCCATTGTTAAATACATAAAGATGGGCATCTTTGTCTATAGCCAATGAAGGATAAACTCTACTAGTGATGCAAACTCTCCCTTCTTCTCCAAAACTCTCAATAATAGAGTGGTCAATCTGCATAGTAAAAACCTATATATATCAAGCTAGCAAGCACATGATGAAACGAGTAGGACAACACAAAAAAATTTAAGCATACCAAGCTTCTAAGTGAAATCGTTTTGAGATTGGGATCTATGTCGAAGATAGTTCCATATGTTGTTTTATCAAGGTCTTGCCGCAATGAAGACCTGTGTAAGTGTAGACAAAAATCTTGGTCTCAAACACAAATCACTAGTTGAGGTTCAATCTCAATGAAAAGTGAAACATGTGCACTACAAATTAAGTTGTGATAATGTCAGAATCAACCTGCTCTGGTCACTGCACATAAGGCAAACATATCTATTGTGAGCTCTATATATTTTGAAGAAGATTGCAGTCTGTTCTTTGAGATCCTCTGAAGCTAAAGCTAACAAACCAAATGGTCCTATTATGCCACTTCTTGATGCATTTTCTTGGCTACAGAGTAGTTGGGATCAACTCCACTGGGATCTAGCAACTCAGCATTTTCTAGTTCAGGTAGCTCAAACAACACTTCCACATCAACCTTTAAATTTCAAAATTAAAAATAATCACCATTGAAACTGTGCTTAATTACTCTGAAAATCCATCAAGAAAATCTAAGAAAACACAGCACTAGTTTACTTACCTGTGATGCAGTGATACCTGAGACTTCAATAATTGATCCACCAAAGAGTTTCTCTCCTGTTAAACTGATTTGCTTGTCACGTAGTTTTTCAACCTCTTCAATTGGCCACTGCATCAATCGCTTCCCACTTTTATCAAGCCAAACTTGCCTTGGAATTGACTACATTGTCAAACAACAACTATCATTTATCAATATGATACATTTCCTCATTGACCACATCTTAAAAATCTAGACCTTATGATATGAATATTGCCTTGAAAATAATTAAGGCAGCAGAAATAACTAAAAGAAAAAGCCCAACATGGAACTAAAATACCTGTAAACCTGCCCATCCTTTCTCAATATCATCTTGTGTGGTGTCAGACTCCTTCACCCAGCCCCACAATATCCTTCTGTTCTTGGCATAGTCAAAAAATGACTTGGAAGCATAAAAGTTACCATAGTCATATCTTAAGTCCAAACTAGTTCCTGTGAATTTAATATCAGGAATAAAGTTTTCCTGATCGGAGTCATATTTACCAAGAAAATAGTAGTCATGTTGTCTGCTTAAATAGCTTATCTTCAAGACATGCCTGACATTCGGATTTTGAACAGAAGTATCCACCCCATTTGTGCTATTGATGTACACAGGAAAAAAGTCTGGGCATTCACAAACTCCAGTTTTATCTGATGCAAAGAAAGGATTTGGATCCACTGTCCAATTAACAAAATCCTCACTTTGATCAAGAATCGCCTTCCCTTCATCACCATTTTGAGCACCAATGACTACCCTCCATTTTCCATCTTTTCCCTGCCAAGCAGTTGATGGATCTCTGAAATTATTCACTTCAACTCCACTAGGTGGAGTCATGACAGGGTTTTGAGGGTGTTTGGTCCATTCCATTAAGAAGGGGTCTGATAGATTCTTTGGCATAGCTAAGTTCTGAACTTGATGTTTATTATTATCAATCCCTGTATATAAAATAACAGGTTCTTCCCCTGGGAGCATAGTAGCTGAACCTGACCAGCAGCTGTTGATGTCAAAGGGTTCACTTGGTTCAAGAACATTATTCAGATGAATCCAATTGATGAGATCATAGGATACAGAGTGAGCCCACACAATCCTATCACCAAAGGTTGCTGCATAAGGATTATGTTGGTAGAAAAGGTGGTAAACACCTTTGTAGTACATTGGTGCTGTGAGATGTTGATGGGCTCATAGCCATGGAACCTTATAAGATAGTGTATGAAAGAAGGGGGAAAGCCCAAGCCCAAAGAGAAAGGGGAAGTCACCAGAGCAAGGCACTAAGGGGAATTGAGGAGAAGTTGGTTAATATCAATGCCACGTGGAAAGCTATGAATGGGCAAGAGGAAGTGGAGAACGTGCAGCGTGAAGAGAGGTGTGAAGCGAATAAAAGCGAGGAGAGTTCGTTGGAGAGGGGCATGCAATTACATGAATGAAGAATGGAGAGTCCTATTGCTGAGGATGGGTCATTGTCTCTGTAATTGGATGAAAGGGTTATCTTTCTTGTTATTTCTTATGGCATCTTATGTTAATTTTCTATTGTAATTCGGCTAAGTCCATTGTTAAATAGGACATTCTGTTTGTAAGAGGCACTGATGAAGTGTCTGATATTTCTGCAATATTAATATAAGTATTTGAATTCAGTCCATCTTTTACCATTTCGTTCAAATTCCTATTTAGAACTTTGTGGGTACCATCAATTTGGTATCAAAGCTTTCACGAATCCTTGGAAGCAATTAATGGTTAATACAAGAATGGAAAATAGAGTAGATGAGGTAGAAAGGAGAACGGCGAGAATCGAAGCAAGGATGGAAGGATTGGATGCTAATTTTTTGCACCTCCGTGATGCTGTAATGGCATTCATGGCGCGAGCTGAGAACTTCATGATCAGAGCAGAAAATAATGAGACAGAGAGACCGCCAAACGCTAACAGTGAAGGAAACAATGGGAATCGGGTGAGAAATAACATGAACACGGTGAGGGACGAGGAAAGAATGCGAAGGGTGGAGGTACCGTACTTCGCCGGAGAAGATCCTTACGGCTGGATATTTAGAGCGGAACGTTACTTCCGGGTCAATCGAATTCCGGTCAAGGAGCAGGTCGAGACAGCTTCTATTTGTTTGGAGGTGAAGGCGTTGAGCTGGTTCCAGTGGTGGGAACCACGAAACCCCATGGTAGACTGGAATATGTTCCGGACGGCCATTTTAGAGAGGTTTCTCACCTCTAATGGGGGAAATCCATATGAAGCACTCATGAGTCTGAAACAGAGTAGTTCCGTGGCTGAGTATCGAGAAAATTTCGAAGTCTTGTCCGCACCACTGCAACACGCAGATGAGGCCATGATGCAGGCGGCATTTGTAACTGGTTTACAGGAGACCATTAAGGCGGAGGTCAGAGTTCACGCTCCGAATGATTTGGCTCAGTTGATGAAGTTAGCGCAGAGGATTGAGGAGAAGGAGACGGTGTTGGGCCAAGCCAAGGTGGTGGTGGGCCGAACCGGATCGGGATTCAGCAATCAGTACACACACATGGGAAGGCCTGCTTTGGCTAACCCACGAAATGGGCCTCAATCTAATAACACATTTGGCAAGTTTGGGCCCAATATTAATCAACAAAGAAATGGGGTCCCAATTGACCCAACGAGTCCATCGTCAAGTGGAAGTGGAGGGGGAGTGAACCCTAAGGGACCTGAGAACCAAACTTCGGGAGTGGCAAGGGATGGAGGGGTAGCTACCAGTTATGGTGGTTCGACAGTAGGCAACGGGGGACGCCGAGGATCCCGTTTTCGAAGGCTATCACCTGAGGAATGGGAGGACCACCGGTTGAAGAATCTGTGTTTTCGATGTGACGCACCATATTCACCAGGTCATACATGTCAGAATCCTCATTTGCATGTGATGATCTTGGCCGAGGGTGGGGAAGAGCTCGAAGAGGAAGAGGTGGAACGAGAGATGCATACAGTGGCAGCAGATGAAACGTTACAACTGGGCATACATAGCGTTGTAGGTTTGACTTCGAACAAATCCTTGAAGTTATGGGGAAAGGTGGGTAATCAAAAGGTAGTTGTGTTGGTGGACACTGGAGCCTCGCATAATTTCCTGGCAACGGGGATAGCTGAGAGGTTGGGTCTTCAGGTGGATACAAACCAACAGTCTACTGTAGCAGTTGGGGATGGTCATCAGGTAAAGAGCTCAGGGTATTGTAAGGGGCTGAAACTGGAGTTACCTAATTTGGTGATCATTCAAGATTTTTATGTGTTTGACTTGAAAGGGGTAGATTTGATTTTGGGTTATCAATGGTTGGAAGAATTGGGAGAGGTACATGCCAATTTCAAAGAGAGGAGGCTGAGAATTCCTTGGCAAGGGAGAGAGGTCATGATCTTAGGAGACCCGTCTCTTTCATGTAGTGGAGCTTCTTACAGGGGATTGGGTCGTTCTTGGAGGAAGGGGGCTGAAGCTTTTTACTTGGAATTGGCTTACTGCATGAATCAGGAGGAGAACTTATCGTTGGAAATCAACAACGTGGCTGGGTTATTACAGGAATTTGAAGATGTATTTGCTCCATTAACTCAAGTACCACCTAAGAGAGGCTGTGATCATAGAATATTGTTACAAGAGGGTTCTCTCATTCCCAATATACGACCCTACCGGTACCCACACTACCAAAAAGGAGAAATGGAACAGTATGTGAAGGATATGTTATCTACAGGCATGATTCGTCCCAGCAACAGCCCTTACTCCAGTCCCTTGATTATGATAAAGAAGAAGGATGGGAGCTGGAGATTTTGCACAGACTATCGAGCTTTAAACAAGGTAACAATACCTGATAAGTTTCCAATACCTGTGATTGATGAATTGTTAGACGAACTGGGAGGGGCAGGAATATTTTCGAAACTCGATCTCAAATCTGGTTATAATCAGATTCGAGTACGAGAGGAGGATGTGGAAAAGACTGCTTTCCGCACCCATGAGGGTCACTATGAGTACCTTGTGATGCCCTTTGGGCTTAGTAATGCACCTTCAACTTTTCAATCTTTAATGAATACTGTCTTTAAACCGTATTTAAGAAGGTTTGTGTTAGTCTTCTTTGATGACATCCTAGTGTACAACACCACTAGTGAACAACATGTGGAACAACTGAGGAAGGTACTGGAAATTTTGAGGGACCACCATTTGCATGCTAATTTCAAAAAATGCAGTTTCGGGCAGAAGCAGCTGGAATATTTGGGTCACTTGATACCGGCAGAAGGTGTTACAGCTGATCCAAAGAAATTAGAGGCTGTAAGCAAGTGGCCTATACCGAAGAATCTAAAAGCTTTAAGAGGCTTCTTAGGTTTAACTGGTTATTATAGGAGATTTGTGAAGCAGTATGGATACATGGCTAGACCTTTAACACATCTACTCAAGAAGGATAATTTTGTATGAGGAGAAGAAGCACAAGTAGCATTTGACAACTTGAAATCTGCCATGGTTCAACTACCAACTCTTGCACTACCTGATTTTGAGGAGACCTTCATTGTAGAAACAGATGCATCAGGTATAGGGATGGGGGCAGTACTCATGCAAAAAGGTCGTCCATTGGCATTTTTGAGTCAAGCATTTTCAGAGCATGCCCGAAATCTGTCTGTATATGAGCGTGAGTTGAAGGCAATAGTGTTTGCGGTGCATAAATGGCGTCACTACCTTTTGGGACGCCATTTCATAGTTCGTACAGACCAAAGGAGCCTTAAATACCTCACTGAACAGAGGGTCATGTGTGAGGGGCAACAAAAATGGGTGGCTAAGTTAATGGGTTTTGATTTTGAAATTCAATTCAAACCAGGATGTGAAAATAAGGCTGCGGACGCCTTATCCCGAGTTATGGCGTGCAGGGAATTAACCATGGTTACTAGTCCTAATTTGCAGTCCATTGCTGATGAAATGTTAGAGGACCCTGCCACACACCAGATTATGTTAGAAGTGCTGGTGGATAAGCAGTCCTATCCTGGGTATCATGTCAAGAGTGGGTGCTTGTGGTACAAAAACAGATTGGTGATTCCGAAAGCCTCCAAACGCATTTCGTTTATTTTAGAGGAGTTCCATTCGTCCCTGTGGGGTGGTCATTCAGGGGAGCTAAGAACATTCAAGAGAATTGCTTCTGTATTTTTTTGGAAGGGAATGCGGAAGGATATTAAAGCTTTTGTCCAAGCTTGTGGTACCTGTCAACAACAGAAATATGATAGTCTTTTACCAGCTGGACTCCTTCAACCATTGCCTATACCGGATCGAGTATGGGAGGATATAGCTATGGACTTCATCGGAGGACTGCCTAAGTCAAAGGGAATGGATACTATCTTAGTGGTGGTTGATAGGCTCACCAAGTTTGCTCATTTTTTGACCTTGAAACATCCTTTCACTGCTCAAGATGTAGCTGCTGTTTTTGTCAAGGAAATAGTGCGATTACATGGGTTCCCACGCTCTATCATATCAGATAGGGACCGGGTGTTTGTTAGCAAGTTTTGGGAGGAATTGTTTCGTTTGTCAGGCACTAAATTGCGATTTAGTTCTGCCTACCATCCTCAAACGGATGGGCAGACGGAGGTGGTTAATAGGACACTGGAAACTTATTTGAGATGTTTTGTCAATGGACACCCAAGGGGGTGGATGAAGTGGATACCTTGGGCGAAATTCTGGTTTAATTCATCTTATAATAGAAGCACTCAGATGACCCCTTTTAAGGCTTTATATGGAAGAGATCCACCCAATATTCTGCATTTGGGCGAGGGCAGCACATCTGTGGAGGCTGTAGATCAATGGCTGCAGGCAAGAAATGCTAATTTAGAGGATTTAAAAGTGAACTTGTGTAATGCTCAAGCAAGAATGAAGGTTCAAGCCAATAAAAAACGACGTGAGGTGGAGTTTCATGAAGGGGACTGGGTTTTCTTGAAGATACAACCCTACAAATTACGTTCTCTTGCCAGAAGGATAAATCAGAAGCTAAGTCCCAAGTTTTATGGCCCTTTTGAGATCACCAAACGGGTAGGACCCGTTGCTTATCAATTGAATCTCCCATCTTACTCTCAAGTTCATCCAACATTCCATGTCTCACAGTTAAAACGGGCTATACAGCCCAATGTTCCGGTTTTGGAATTGCCTCACTGTTTGACGGAGGAATTGGAAATGAATGTGTATCCTGCTGCAGTTTTACAGCAGCGGAGGTTGATGGATGGCCAAATTGAATTATTGATGCAATGGGAAGGTCTTCCGGAGAGTGAGAGTTCTTGGGAATTGATGACAGAAGTGAAGGCACAGTTTCCTTCTTTTCCCCTTGAGGACAAGGTATTTCTGAAAGGAGGGGGTATTGATGGGCTCATAGCCATGGAACCTTATAAGATAGTGTATGAAAGAAGAGGGAAAGCCCAAGCCCAAAGAGAAAGGGGAAGTCACCAGAGCAAGGCACTAAGGGGAATTGAGGATAAGTTGGTTAATATCAATGCCACGTGGAAAGCTATGAATGGGCAAGAGGAAGTGGAGAACGTGCAGTGTGAAGAGAGGTGTGAAGCGAATAAAAGCGAGGAGAGTTCGTTGGAGAGGGGCATGCAATTACATGAATGAAGAATGAAGAGTCCTACTGCTGAGGCTGGGTCATTGTCTCTGTAATTGGATGAAAGGGTTATCTTTCTTGTTATTTCTTATGGCATCTTATGTTAATTTTCTATTGTAATTCGGCTAAGTCCATTGTTAAATAGGACATTCTGTTTGTAAGAGGCACTGATGAAGTGTCTGATATTTCTGCAATATTAATATAAGTATTTGAATTCAGTCCATCTTTTACCATTTCGTTCAAATTCCTGTTTAGAACTTTGTGGGTACCATCAGATGTAAACCAACACCAGTCATTATATCATAATTTGCTTAACATTAACAAAAAATGAAATTGTTTAATTGTTCAAAAGAAACCATTTGATCAAATTACAAATGGAACAGCAAAGAACATGACAGTTTTGATTCTCTATGATAGATAGTCAAATAAATTTACTGACTTACCATTTGGATCTGCATAATGAAGACATCCATTTTCAATTTTCGTCCACAAAAACATGTCAAATGACAGAGAGAAAATAATTAGACTTATCAATGATTTAGAACAAAAGGAATGGAATATATACACTAGTAGACCTAAAGAGCATTAGTGCTAAAAGTAGATTCACAAAGCATGGTGGGGATAATACCGTTCATCCAATTCTGTGGGGGCTGAAAGTGATAAGAAGTTCGGTAAGGTTGTTTTTCAGGTACCCTGTACTTGATATAATCATTGCTATGTGTGGATGCTTCAATTCCATTTCCACTGTTCAGCAGAAAATGAAATAACACAGGAAATAGTAGCGCTACAAAGATCTTCATGATACAAGCATGAAGGGGAAGCTGAAGGTCAACCTAAGCAAGATGACCTATGAGTTTTAGTTTGATCTAGAACTTATTATATATGCACAGTACATCACAAAACATTATTAATATATTTAGAATATTGGATCTATCACTTTGTGGAGAGAGCACCACTTATGTACTGAATTTTAATTCTGTAATGATTCCTCGAGACATATCCAAAACCAATTAGATTTGAAATCTACACGAGCTTGTTAGGTATACTCTTAACTGTAAATAAAAATGTATATTTTCAACTTATTATATATTTTGAAGAAGAAGAATCGGTTTATTTTGTGCAAGTCAAAGTTACCCTTGCATCACTTAATAACTTTTTTTACTAGGTAACTTTCGCTGAGTAGCATGAAAGGAAATAACACGAGTAGTAGTGACACTACAAATTAAGATCATGGATTAAAATATGCATATCTAAGTCCTTGATCGAACTAAAACTCATAGGCCATCATGAAAACCTTAAAGATCAAGTACATTACAAAAAAAAGATTAATATATTCACGATGGATCTGTCACTATGTGGAAAGAGCATCGCACATATACCATGATTCGTGGGGAAATAGTACTCATCAATTATTCCGCAATTACTCACTTAAGCCGAAGACAACTTGCCAGGATTTTGTCTAAGATCCAAAGCTCATAGCCAAGGAAAAGACCAAGGTGAATAAACACCAAAACGGAGTCATAAATATCTGTAAAGAACTTTGAGATACACCACCCCAAAAGTTAATTCAAAGGATGTGAGTACTCGCCTTATAAAGATCACGTTAGTTGCACATACAATCAATGTGGAACTATCTATATTTTCATTTATCTTTTGAGGTCGTGTATCTCAAGATTCTTTATAATATCAATTAAAAAAGACCACAAAAGCTTAATTGCTTTCCACTTATCTTTTCAGTTTTCTTTCTTTCTTTTAAGGGGTTACTTTTCCTGTGTTGCCGGAAAAAAAAGCAAACTTTCCTATAGACTCAGGTTTTGGAAGGGTTCGCAATTTTTTTTTTCTAAAAAAAGAAGGCTCTAAAATCGAAAAGTTTGTGGGAAGATTGTTTTCTTGTCCAGCAACACAAGACATACATTACCATTCTTTTAATATATAGACTGGAAATTTCATAATCTAATTGTTTGCTATAATTTATTTGCTTATGGCAAAAGGTCTTTCTAAACAAATATTTCAAAGTTGATTTCATCAATCTCTCATGTGAAAGATGACTTTAATAATCGAAACCTTTAACCTTATTGTTTGCGAACGTAATCTCTTCCAATAATAAAAAAAAAAATTAAAGGAAACGTAAAATCTTGGTCTTCTAAGAAACATTTATCTTTTTGTTCCCCCAACGTGCAGTTAGTTTATTTATTTTGAGAGAATTTTTTTTGTTATGTTAATATAAATGAATTATTTTATGTTGCTAAAAAAAATTTATAAGTAGGACTCGCAAATAATTGGAGAGAAAATAAAATCAAGTTGAGTGTCTATAAAAGTTTGGTTTATCTCATATAGAATGAGAGAAGTATAACTCATATTGGACAAATTGGAAATAATTACAAATCAATCACAAGAGAACGAACATCGAAATACAATATATTGAAAAATATTTCTACAGTTAATGCAGATAAGTTATCTGCATTTACTTCCAAAACGACGTCGTTTTGGGATTGAAAGATTAAAAAATTATAATGATAAAGACTATAATAACTCTAAAATAAATAAAATTATAAAAATATCATGATTTCTGCCCAAAACAATGTTGTATTGAACTTATTGCAGACTTAACATGCACTAATCACAGAAAAAACGAACTCTAGCATATATAGTATCCAAATAAATGTATGATTCTCAAAATCTTTTTTAGCTATAGATTGATTATGTTTTCTTTATGGCCAAACTTTGCTTGGTTCATGTTCCAAGCATTCAGTATTGAAATCACCACACTCTGGCTTCCATTGTTGAATACATAAAGATGGGAATCTTTGTCTACAGCCAACGAGGGATAAACTCTACTGGTGATGCAAACTCTTCCTTCCTCCCCAAAACTCTCAATAATAGAACGGTCAATCTGCACAAAAAATAATCTCCGTATAACAAACTAGCAAGTACTTGATGAAACAAGGAGGAGAACACTTGTCATTACGAATAAACATACCAAGCTTCTAAGTGAAATCGTTTTGAGACTGGGATCTAGCTCAAACATAGTTCCATATGTTGTTTTATCAAGGTCCTGCCGCAATGAAGACCTGTAAAGTATAGACAACTCTCATGTTTCTAAGTCTCAAACACAAATCACTAGTTGAGGTTCAATCTCAATGAAAAATGAAATATGTGCACTTCAAATTAAGTTGGAAGAAACTAGCATGCAGGTGGATCAATTGTTAAAGGGTTGTTCCACCTTAACTAGTAGTCTGGAGGAGTTCTTAGAACACAGCTATGTTAAAATTTGGTAGATAGAGCTTTCCAGCTCATGTGCTTCTGTTCGGCTCAAATAAGACTAGTCGCAATAAATGAACCTATAGACAATATATATATATAAAAAAAATAAGTTGGAAGAATGTCAGAAGCAACCTGCTCTGGTCACTGCACATCAGACAAACATATTTATTGGGAGCTCTATATATTCGGAAGAAGATTGCAGTCTGTTCTGTGAGATCCTCTGATGCTAAAGCTAACAAACCAAATGGTCCTATTACGCCACTTCTTGATGCATATTCTTCACTACAGAGTAGGTAGGGATCAACTTCACTGGGGTCTAGCCACTCTGCACTTTCTAGTTCAGGTAGCTCAAACAACACTTCTATATCGACCTAGAAATTTCAAAATTAAAAATAATCACCATTGAAACTGTGCTTAATTACTCTGAAAATCCATCAAGAAAATCTAAGAAAACAAAGCACCAGTTTACTTACCTGTGATGCGGTGATACCTGAGACTTCAATAATTGATCCACCAAAAAGTTTCTCTCCTGTTAAACTGATTTGCTTGTCACGTAATTTTTCTACCTCTTCAATTGGCCATTGCATTAATCGCTTCCCACTTTTATCAAGCCAAACTTGCCTTGGAATTGACTACATTGCCAAACAACACTGTATCATTCATCAACATCATTCTCTCCCACATCTTAAAATATCTACATCAGGTTATGATATAAGGGGCAGGATATTTTTACACCAGTGTAAGAGTTAGAAGACTTACACTCAATTTTGAGCATTGATTCATTTATATCCAATGGCTCACATTACTAAAAAATTAGAGCCTTTAGATATAAATAAGCTCAACGATCAAGATTGAGAGTATAACTTACACTGGTGTAAAATGATCCTAACCCGTGATATAAATATAGCACTAAAACAATTCTTAATCAAAAGAAATTGGTCAACATGGAACTAAAATACCTGTAGACCTGCCCATCCTTTCTCAATATCATCTTGTGTGGTGTCAGACTCCTGCACCCACCCCCACAATATCCTTCTGTTCTTGGCATAGTCAAAAAATGACTTGGAAGCATAAAAGTTACCATAATCGTATCTCAAGTCCAAACTAGTTCCTGTAAATTTATTATCAGGAATAAAGTTATCCTGATCAGAGTCATATTTACCAATAAAATAGTAGTCATGTTGTCTGCGTATAGAGCTTATCTTCAACACATGCCTAACACTGGGATTTTGGACAGAAGTATCCACCCCATTCGTGCTATTGATTGACACAGGAAAGAAGTCTGGGCATTCACAAACACCAGTTTTATCTGATGCAAAGAAAGGATTTGGATCCACAGTCCAATTAACAAAATCCTCACTTTGTCCTAGAATCACCTTCCCTTCAACACCATTTTGAGCACCAATGACTACCCTCCATTTTTCATCTTTTCCTTTCCAAGCTGTTGACGGGTCTCTGAATTCATTCGCTTCAACTCCACTAGGTGGAGTCATGACAGGGTTTTGAGGGTGTTTGGTCCATTCCCTTAAGTAGGGGTCTGATAGATTCTTTGGAATAGCTAAGTTCTGAAGTTGGTGTTTATTAACATCAATCCCTGTATACAACATAATAGGTTCTTCCCCTTGGAGTATAGTAGCTGAGCCTGAATAGCAGCCCTTGATGTCATACGGTTCACTTGGTACAAGAACATTATTCAGATGAATCCAATTTATGAGATCATAGGATACAGAGTGAGCCCATACCATTTTGTTACCAAAGGTTGGCCCATCAGGATTATACTGGTAGAAAAAGTGGTAAACACCTTTGTAGTACATTGGTCCTGCGATGGGTTAGTAATTGTGTATTAGCATTTATCTTTTGGGTTGTAATATGCACAAGGAATGTTTATTTATTTCTCCAAATAATCTTTTAGAACAAATTACAAGTGGAATGTACAAAAATAAGACACATGTTTTTTCCTCTAGTCATACTAGGGTGCTGTGGAGAAGAGGTAAATAAATAACTTAATAGTTTAATGAGCATACCATTTGGATCTGCATGATGAAGGCAACCATTTTCAATTTTCGTCAACAAAACATATCAAATGACAGAAAGAAAAGAATTAGACATAAGCAATTAATTAGAACAGAAGGAACATATACTTGTAGACATTGAAAGCATGTGTGTTAAAAGTCAATTGACATAGTGCTGAGGATAATACCGTTCATCCAATTTTGTGGGGGCTGAAAGTGGTACCAAGTTCGGTAAGGCTGTTTTTCAGGTACACTGTATTTGATAGAATTGATGCTGTGTGGGGATGCATTCTCTGCAATGATCTCCATGATGATAGCTCAAAGGTTATGGGAAGGTCAACAAGAACCAGATGGCCAATGTCTTGGTTTGATCAAGGCTTATTACATGCAATTATGCACACAATAGATCTTTGATTTTGTGGGAAGAGCGAGTACTAAAGATGTAAAATGAATTGTGGAGACAAATCCAAAACCAACTTTGTGTATATATTGCAACAAGTAATTATATTTATTGATGACTTGAC